GAGAGAGAGAGAGAGAGAGAGAGAGAGAGAGAGAGAGAGAGAGAGAGCGTCCTGTCCCTGCAGCATTTATTTTGATCATCAGTAAGGCGTCACCTTCTTCTCTCCAGTTAATTTAACCACACATTCGCATTATCTCCAGAAGCAGCCCTGGAGAGGTGGTGTCCGTGACATTAAACAGGGATTACACAGTGTACATAATAAAACAAACAGAGTATAATCCATGCACACAGACCAGCACAACACATAGTTAAAATATAACATGCATAAATGCTGCTGTGGCCTACTGGATTTACAGTGTGATACAGGATTGTGAGTAGACTGACACTGTGCAGACATGATGTAACACTGCTATCTACTGTTTAAAGAGCAAGTGTAAATTAACGGTCAATGTCACCGAATAGTTACTTTTTTCAAGAGGTTGTTTCCACAACCAAAAGCAGTTTGTTGAACATAAAGCGCGTTTTGTGTAACAGGAATCAATGGGGACTGTGACCTAATGTAATTTGCTTCGGTATGCAAGGTGGCTGTGGCACCTGTATGTGGTTAAAACCCTGAATGATTCAGGACAAGGGCCCTGCAACATAACACGGACTGTAGTGTTTATTTTATTACACCAGATCAATATGAGAAGTACTGCTACTTTTATGAATCGATTGGCTTGCAGACAAGGTCAATAGATAATCAAGACCTTCCTTTACACGTCACAAAAAATCTTCTTTCTTTCTTTCTTAAGGCAAGAAAACCCCAAAACATACATTTTTCATGCACTAGTCAATTTTGAGAGTTTGGGCTATTTCGCTTCCCTAACATGTCGTCTTTCAGACTAGTGGAAAGAAAACTTCCAAAATACACATTTAGGTATTTATTTTACTACTTTGTCTTTTTGCGTCTCTAGATTAATCCGAAATTCACCCAAAAAATGCATTAGATAATGCACAATTTGACTATTCAATCAAACAATTTCAGAAATGTCGTAGTACAAAAAAATATTTTCCTAATGGAAGTAATAAACACAGGGGAAGTTTCATGGTGATATTATCTTTCGATTTGTATCCTATTCACCTGTAATGTCTTACAATACACACCTTTAAAGGCTGTTTCCTCGAAATGATTGTTTTTCTCAGACTCTGAGCCAGAAATCTCCACTTCAGTAGCATTTACATACATCACACTTGCCAATTTCATTCAAATCTATATCCTGTAGGTTTTTGCTGAGTGGGTTGTTGATATATCATTCATAGCCTGATTTGTATCA